GCAATTTCGACCCTCGAACAGTCCTTTCGCAATTTCTAAATCGCTGGTACACCGTTTTACAAAAATGAAGCACGTTTTGGATAATATCGTTTTTGGGAAATTAAACAAGATCTACATACGAAGTTATTGAAACATTCATATACCATGGGCCCATGAAGGATAAAACAACCCCCAAGTACAAAATCTTACTTTTGCTTCTCTTTTTCTTTTCTTGTTTTTCTTTTTTTTTTTAAGGATTCAAAACTCCTTGATGGATCCCTCCATTTTAAAGGAAACAAAGAAGGCAAAAAATATAATCTAATAAATTTGATCTCTCCAATTTTTATCTGGTGGTTTAGGTTCTCTTGTATTAATTTCGACCCTCGAACAGTCCTTTCGTAATTTCTAAATCGCTGGTACACTGTTTTACAAAAATGAAGCACGTTTTGGATAATATCATTTTTGGGAAATTAAACAAGATCTACATACGAAGTTATTGAAACATTCATATACCTTGGGCCCATGAAGGATAAAACAACCCCCAAGTACAAAATCTTACTTTTGCTTCTCTTTTTCTTTTCTTGTTTTTCTTTTTTTTTTTAAGGATTCAAAACTCCTTGATGGATCCCTCCATTTTAAAGGAAACAAAGAAGGCAAAAAATATAATCTAATAAATTTGATCTCTCCAATTTTTATCTGGTGGTTTAGGTTCTCTTGTATTAGTTTTATTATAATGTTTACATCCCATATTTATCATTTCTTTTTTTATTGATGTTAAGAAAAAATAATATACATCATTAAGAACTCATTTATTTTAGTTTTCAGTGAACATTTTTTTGGGTAAATTATACTTTGCCTAGTAAAAGTTTTCTTTTTGCTCAATTTAGTCCTTAAACTATCTCATTTTTCTCAATTTGGCCCGATTCCTTACTTTCATCCAAATTGTTGACAAAAAGTGGCATGTGAGATGGTTAAGCCAAAGTTGTCAAATTTATTATATTCTTTTACTAAATTGGAGAGTATTCTAAAATTTGGTTTGAGAAAAAAACAATCAAGCCCTCAAGTCAAACGTCCTACAAATTTATCATTTTCTTTGTACTATTTGGAGAAGATTTTGCCATTTGATTCGGAAAATGAGCTATCAAGCCCTTGAGTCAAGAGAAGAATCGGAGGATTGTTTTCTTTGATCAGAGAATTCATTAGAGATTGTAACCACATTAATTTAAATTAATACATTTATATTTGTCACTCTATTTTTCTATCTTTATTTTGCAGACAAAAATTGTGTATACACCTGACTATTCTTGTTTTATTTGGTTCAGGCCAAATTAGTTCAACTTATTGGTTTTATTTGGTTTGGGATTCATCAGCACCTGGCAATGTGTCATATTACACAGTACAATCGATAATGTAGAAGTCTGTGCTTGTGTCTTCTTCCTCACATTAGTCTCATGTTTCTGCCATGTCCACTACCTATTTAGGTTTGCCAGGTTCTCATACTTCATGTGTATCACCCAAAACATGGATATTTGATTTTGGTTTCTTCTCACCATATTACTCCTAATTTGTTTGCTCTAAGTAATTGCATTTCCGCTTCCTACCCAGTCACATTATGATTCCCATTAAATTTCATAGAATTTTAAGTGTGGTGGAACATTTCTAAGAATTTAAAATAATAATAAAGCAGATGCACATCTTGTAAATCAGAGATACAAAACATGCAGCGGAATAAAATGTTTAGATCATACCTCATTTGATCTAAAATCTCGTGGATAAATCACGTGCTTCCAGAATCTAATCAATCAATCCCAGCAGTGGGGTGATATTACAATGGTGAATATCACCCCGTTTCTAAGAATTTAAAATAATAATAAAGCAGATGCACAACTTATCAAATCAAAGCTAAATTGTGGTTGGCAAATGATCAAATCTTACACATCAAACTAAATTGCAGTTTACTTGATTTAGGAATGACTCATAAGCTAGTCGGTCTCAAATCTTTTCCATATGCTAAAATGGCATGACTTTATTGGGAACTTCATGAAAATTCATTTATATGTTCTTAAAGCCTACACTAGTTCCAAAAAAAAAAGATATTCTTAAAGCCTACAATACCTCCTTATTTTATTCAAAGGTTCCCCTTTCCCTCCACCTGCATCTGACAAGAGTTTAGTCTGCATTCAAAATCAATCAAATTCATCAGTTTATTTGTATAATGATGATTACAATTTTGGAACACATGCGGGTGTGCTTTGTTTTCTCCCAGCATATGCTTTCATTACGTTCAGATTTGATATAAGCTCAGCCTATGCAATGAAGGTTCATATGTGTAGTGGTGTAAGAGTAAGAAAACTCACATCGACATAATATTTGGGCAATTTGAAAGAAATAATAAAATTTTGAACTACACAAAGTATTACCCAAAAAGTAGAACAAGGAGGTGAAGAAAAAAGGAAAGAAACATCCAAAGAGCTCTCAATCAACACAAACAAATCAAAGGGCATGAGGGCCTGTCATACACATAGACTTTGTGTTTTAAGTCTTTTAGTCAAAAGGCAATATTTACAAATATGCTTGCTTGAGCTTGGCATTCTAAATTGTTCCAAGTAGATATTGCAATTAAGTTTCTTTAACAAAAAACAACTTTTGCCGCGTTTTAACATTTGAAGAGGTTCCCTGGGGTTTTGTGGAAACTAATTTCTTGAATCTCCTCACTTCTTTTATTGGTCACTCTTTATCTTTTCTTTAAGTGATGTTCATTTGACTGAGCTCATTGTTTACTGATTTGAACTAGAAAAAAATCAGATTCAAATATTCTCTCCAGGTTTTGACATCAAATAAATATGCTGTAGATAAGTGAGTTCAGCACAAGGACTTGCACCCAACCAAGCATGCCTTTTCGACCTACTTTGTATGCCCCTCTACGGAAGATATAGTACTTATCTTCACCTGCCACATGACTGACACACAGTACAATCAGCACAAGCTAAGTCCTTCATAGGATAAAAAGTAAAATCAGCACAAGCAAAGTCCTTCACTGGATAACAAGGTAAAACACACTATTTTTATTGCAGAAACATAAATCACTACATGAATAGATACAAATCCAGAAATTATTCTCATTGGCATTTGTCAACCAAGTGAAGGTCATTCATCAACCATAAGATGCCCCGAGCCCAGGCATCAAATAAACCCAAACCCTGAGACACAAACATTATAGTAGTTCAGACATACAAAAAATGCTATTCATTCAAAAAAAATTATACAAAGTTTGATGTCCATAAAACAACCAACATTCTTCAACCAAAATACCAATCTAAAGTTTTCCCTAATCTGATAGCAAACAGATTTTGAATATGGAACATAGGTGAATCTAAAGAAATCATACAAATAAAATATGGTTATTAAGGTTTAATAATTTGGGAAAAAGCAGAGATTTAGTGAGAGGAGAGAGGGGGAAGATGTAACGCCCACAAAATATTATATAAATCAACCATTCATAAGAATCATAAACATAATAGAAATGTTATATTTCATTCATCAGAGTCTATATTACAAAAGACATTACATGCGTTACACTTTCACAAATATTCTTTCTGAAACTATAGCATGTATCTCTAATTGATAACAACAAAATAAATGTCTTACGGGCTTACATCTTTCCAAGTTATCACTTGGTTACATCAAAAGAAGAGTCTAGTCTCTATACAAGTAAAACCATCGACTTAAAAAAAAAACATCCAACACAAAATGAAATAGCAAAAATGGAGCCTTCAGCCCCTAAACCTCTCAAGCTATGTCCTTGGAGGTGGCATGTCACTAGTACCTGAAAATGGTATCCCAAGTAGGGTGAGCGAAAGCCCAGTAGAAATATGCTACACAATATATGAGAATTAACTAAGGCATAAACATCACATAAATGTAGGATATTTCTCAACCGACACATATTATTTCCATGACCATTTAATTTACATAACCATATCTCAATTCATTCCCAATCATCCATTTTGGGTAAATCTATTTACCAAATTTGTAATCATCAAAACAACCAAAATGAGATTTCAACTTAATGGTTCAGAATTCAATGCATTCATCAATCTAACACTTTTATTTCTTGTCATTTTACGAAACTACGTTCGAGGGAACCGACACCCATAAACAAATAGGATTTTGGAACTTTCACCCTGGACACTCTGGCCAACTTAATTCTCAATGGAGTCCATCCGCTATCTCCTCCCAAACAATGAAGTATATCTCCTATCTCCTCTCATTCAAAGATACATATATAATGTATTTAAACATGTTGTCATATACAATGACTTATCAATTCACATATTCAATGATTTACTCAAACCGTCATATTCAATGACATAATACAATTGATTAGTCTCAATTTTCCTAATCCTCATGCATTTTCTACAACAATCATAGCTATCATCCACCAATAGCCCAAAATAGATATTTCTAAATAAATAAATAAATCTATCAACAGATAATTTATCAAATTTTCCATAGGTGAGTAATTTACCAATCCAACTACACCATTTAATCACATTTTCCCCTAATTTCATAATTTCCAAACCAATTTCATATCTCTACGTTGATTTCACTATTTATACAAAATAGTTTATTTAATCCAAACTAGGGCTTTTTTCCCTCTTTCTCAAATATTACACCCAAGGCTAGATTTTACCCATTATACACAAATAACCCCATTTTCAAGACCTCGCATACACATATGGAGTCCAAAATAGAAAACCCCTCTTTCATAAACCAAAATCCAACCATAACCTCACACAACTCCCCAACTTCACTATTTATGCAAAAATGACAAATGTCTAGGTCAAAACTCATATTAAAGAGTAGATTATCCCTACCTCAAATGGAGAAGCTCAAAGAGGAAGAAGGAGAAACTTGAAGATGCTCCAAACGTGAACTTTTTCAGATCAAAATGAAGCCCACGCGATACTTCACCCTTTTTACAAAGGAAGTAGGATAGAAGGACTCTAGATTAAGAAGCATTTGTAGAGAGAGAGAGTGTTTTAGAGAGAGAGGCAGCCGATCTAGGGTTTTGAGTGAAGAAGGGACCAAAAAGTGATATAAAATCACGCTACTACAAACTGATATATGCGAGGCTCACTCGAGCAAAGGAGTTGTCACTCGAGCGACCAGACATAACAAGTGGCCTCGCTCGAGCGCAAGAAGTGTCGCTTGAGCGCACAATGCAAAGCTTCAAGTCTACCACCAATGCAGACACACGCTCGAGCACAAGAGTTCTCGCTCGAGTGAAGGAACAAATAACACGTGTCTCGCTCGAGCGCAAAAGTTCTCGATCGAGCGAAAGTTGCGTCTAAGAAAGAAACCTGAGGACTTTCAATCTTCACTCAAGCGCAAAAAGCAAATACCCAAGGCTCGCTCGAACGCAAAAAGCCTCACTCGAGCGAAGAAGCCAAAACCTGGGCAACAACCATTTGTACCAACTCCCTACCAACCTGTTCCAAACTCACTCAATGCAACCCACAACTCAATTTCAAAGAATTAAATTGAGGAAACAAGACAAAGACAACAACATACAACCATGGAACCCAAGTCCAGGATACATTAAAGGTCAGGGTAAAACCTGGATCGCTATAGAAGAGCTCTTACGCTCCACCAATAGAGAGAGAGAGAGAGAACGAGAGAGAGAGAGAGAAAGAGAGAGAGAGACGAAAAACAATAAAAGAGTGAGACAACGAGTGAGAGAAGAGAAAAGACAAACCTGGTGTTGGTGTGGATGGTTGCCGGAGGCTGGACCAGCGTGCGATAGAGCGATGGCAAGCGACGACGTGCGATACAGATGAGTGACGATGGGCGATAGAGCTGAGAGAAAAGGGGAGAAATGGGGCCTTTAGGTCTGATTTTCTCACAATCAAATGAAAAGGATTGGTGAATTTCTTTAGCTTCTATTCAAAATAAAATAAAATAAAATAAACAAACAAACAAACAAATTTCTTTAGCCTAAAAAAGGGTAGCGTTTTGAGGTAAGAAAAAGATTTGGCAACCAATTTTGGCTTGTTGCCAAAGATAAATTTATAGCGACAAATATATTGGTCGCCAAAGATAAAAAATAGTCACCATAAATTTTTCCTCTTCCCGCGCTTACTTTTGCCCCACGCCAAAATGCTTCCACAACCAAATATTACAATTGGTCGCCAATTCTTCATCCTTTGGCGACAAGTTGTAATTTGGTCACCCAATGGCTGTAATTGGCGCCTAAAACCAATTTGGTCGCTAAAAATGGTCGCAAAACGTGCTTTTTGTTGTAGTGATTGTCGTCCTCATCTTTTATTAATTGTCCCTCATCATTCGCTAATTGTGAATTACCTTTTTTCCTCTCCCCCGTCCTAGCTCAACCCTCTTCATTTCTAGCCTTATCAACCCCATCCTCTCCCCATGTCGCATCCTTACCCCTCTCTAGCCCCTACTTGTCACATCCCTTCCTCCTGCAAGCCCATAACTATTGTCCTCCCCCTCCCCTTCTTCCTCCTCCTCCTCCTCCTCTTCCTCTTCCCCCAACCTCTACCACCTGGCTTCTCATTTCTTTTTCTTTCTTTATATGTATAGAGGTTAATATATGTTAGACGACTATGCACACCCGTAATGCATGTGTAGAAATGAAGGATAGTTGTAATTGCTATCAACTGATAAAAAAAAAATTGGATGTAGATGGAAGAAAAAAAATCAATATTTGAAATAAAAAAATTTGAACGATTATAAATGGGTAATTTGGGCATGAAATGTACATGGCATAGTTTCATCAACTGATTTGTGTGCTTTATATATAAAACAAAATAGATACAAAGATGGAGTGATTTGTTGAGTGAGTTTATAATTTTGTTTAAAAACATGACACTTGCCATGATTGATTAGATCAAAATAATATAATATTAAAAAATCAGAATCAAAATTGAATCCAATGAATTTTTAGAGATAAACTCCATTCCATATTTGTATTTTTTCATACTCATCCATACTCTTTTTGTGGGCTCAAATTTGAATTCACATCGGTGATCCGAACCGTCTACTTTGTAGGTTCCGTAATAAAGGTCATCTGTGTAAAAAATTCAATTTCATCGGATATCTATAAACATAAAAACAAATTACATTTTGTTTTAAATAGGATTGCATATTTAAACTATTCATTTTGTAAAACAAAACGTGATTTATTTATGTATTTATAGTTGTCCGATAAATCTAATTTTTTGTATGAATAACCTACACTATGAAGCCTATGAAATAGATGGTTTGGATCATCAAAGTAAGTCTGAATTGAGACCTACAAGAGGAATAAGAATGAATATGAAAAGATGACGCGTGGAGAGGAGTTTATCTCGAATCTTTAAGAGGCAATTTGGGAAGATTAGCTTTTTTTAGTTTTTTGACTTTTTTTGGTCACATCATCCCTCTATTTTTTTATTCAAAAAAAAGTCAAAAAATAAAATTTTTACCATCTTTTCAAAACACCACTAAATATCAAATTGACACAAAAAATAAAGTATAATGATTATTGATATAATTTATTCATAATTATATGCGACAAAATAAAAAAGAGCTATATTTTATCATTTTTATTTTATCTTTGGGGCTTTTGTGTAAGGCATGAACATTTAAATTGGTTTGCATGCATTTATAATGAACACGATAGATTAAAGTAATATTATGAACTTTTTCTAACATTTCAGTGAATGACCCATGTAATTGAATGTTTAATGTTAATGCTTTGAGAATATGTGGATCGCGTAAACTAAGTGTAAAATCAGGAAAACAATTAAAATGTACTGGACCTTTATGAAGACCAGTTTCCAAAAAACCCAGGGAAACTTGTCAATTATTTGATAAAAAATTAATCAAGAGACATTTAGATAATGGTTATAATTTTATGCATATTGGCTTAATCCAAGTAGGTGTCAATCCATTGACAATTGTAGGAAAAAACACTTCTGTTTTATTATGTTTAAGAGATACTCGTTTTCTTAATTACAATGATAGTTTAATGGGTATGATGGAAACTGGTCTTCATAAAAGTCCAGTATATTTTAATTATTTTCCTGATTTTACACTTAGTTTACGCGATCCACATTTATCATCTCAAAATAAAAATGATAAAATATAGCATTACTCTAAAACTAAAAATACTTCACCTAAAAATACTTCACCATTTTTTATTTATTTATTTTGATAAGAGGAAAAATACAGCACCACTGATCATCTAAAACATTGGGCAAACCGTCTGATTTCCCAACTAATAGATAAAAATTATGTGTATGGCAGTATATTTCATCTTGTTTCAGCAAAAAATTAAAGTAAAATAATCTTAATCTTTGCGCCTCGGTCGCTGGTTTATGTATACTATTTTTTTTATATAAAAAAATGAAAAAAATATTAAAATTACAGAATCTATCTACTGAGAAATCTTTGTTGAAATTAACAAATCCACTCTAAATCATCTGAACTATCGAAGAAAAGTCATATTTATCACCCTATACAAAATCTTTTAATTAATTTTTTTAATTCGAAAATCTCGTGCACCATGGAGGGTTAATTAATCAGTAATACTAGGTATCATGAAAATTTTGTCATGAAAATAATCATGAAAACTTTGTGATCCTTGGATTACATTTAGAATAAAACACCACACACTAATCAAGGTAATCCAAGGATCATAAATTTTTCATGATCATTTTCATGATAAAATTTTCGTGATCCCTAACTTTTTCCTTAATCAAAAGAGACTTTTGATTTTTTTTTTTAATAAATTGGATGATTTTTTACCAAAATAGGAAAAAAAATAAAAATAAATAAATAGAGAGAATCTTCCACTACTTTTCTCTCTCCCCTTCTCTCTCTCTCTCCGACCAAGTCCAACCGAAATCTTTCAATTCGTTTACTTTTCTGGGTTCTGGGTTTGTGAATTGTTCATTCTCTTTGATCCATCTTTTTTGAAGAGAGAGAGAGAGAGAGAATGGGGAGCATACCTGGATGGCAAGTTGGGTTTTTGTGTGGAATTGTTTCATGGATTGCCATCTCTTCAATGCTCAATGTTACTCGGAAGCTTAGATCCTTAACCCAATCTTGGGTTTCTCGGCAGGTCATCTCTGGCACTCCTTTCATCCTGCAGATCCAGGTCTGAATATCAATTTAATTTATTTTTTATATACCAACACACATATATATACATGACACATATCATCATTCTCGTTGAATTTTGTTTTTGAATTTTTTTTTTTTTTTGGTTTTTTTTGTTTTACCTGAACTGTTGGGGGTTTTGTGTAAATGGGTTTTGCAGAAATACAATAATGGATGGTTGGATGCTTTCTTCTCTGGGTTGTCTTGTGTTGTTTCTGTGCCTTTCTACACTGCCTTTCTTCCCTTGCTCTTCTGGGTATGCCTTCTCTCTTCTCCTGTTTGATGGGTTACTTTTAATTTTTATGATAGTTGTTCATATGGCTTGTGGGTTGGAAATTTATGTACCAGCATTTTAGAAATTCAATTGATTTTTTTATTTTATTTTATTTTTTTTGTTGCCAATTTATTGTAGAGTGGGCATGGAAAATTGGCCAGGCAGATGACCCTATTGATGGCCTTTTGTGACTATTCAGGGAACTGTATAAAGGTACTCTATTTCTATATGTTTGGAATCATTTGTTTGTTGGTAGTCTTGAGATTGTGGTTAAGCTATTTCTAATTGGCATGCTTTATGTGTTAATAGGATGTGGTTTCAGCTCCTAGACCCAGATGTCCACCTGTGAGGAGAGTGACTGCTACCAAAGACGAGAAAGAGAATGCGATGGAATATGGATTGCCTTCTTCCCACATTCTTAACACAGTTTGCTTATCTGGGTATTGAAATTCCTTCCTATTTACTCATTCTATATGCTTTTTTTTCAGGTGGGGTTTGGATGGCATTAGCTAGATTGTGATGATTGGTGGTTTTGTTTAGGGACATTTTTGGGCCGAAGCTTTGTGGATTTTTTTCTTCTAGCTAAGGGTTTACAAAAAAGATACTGCAATGGTATCTGATGTTTTTCATGAGCATATAATAGGAAGCACAAACACTTCAAAATGGATGCCTAGTCTGTATCGGAGTTTGACACATATCGGACACCCATACCATTGTCCGTGCTTCTTAGATTGTATTTAAGTTACATAATGTAGAAAAGGGCATTGACCCTGCAGATTCGAGTGTGACCATTACCCAAGCTCCCAATTTTCCAAAAAATAAAAAATTGGCAGAAAAGTTATATCTGTTAGGGTAACCAAGGTTTTTGGAATGAATTCCCAAGGCTTAATATAATATGGTATGCATGAACAGCTTATTTATTTTTTTTTATTTTTGGTTGCAAGTAATTAACGATTGACAGACAACAACTTCAATTTTAATAGTGTGTTAATCTGTATTATATGATACACCTATGTATAATATGTTTTTATTTAGTTATGACCGATCTGTACATCTTGTACTTTTGCTAGCAGATGTTTCACCTCATGCTTTAGCATCCTATTATAATGTAAAACTTACTAACCAAATTTCTCTTGGGCATAATCCAGTTACCTTTTGTACTATGTCATATCCTACACCCAGAGTGGAGATGCCTCCATCCAGTTTGTTGGATTCGCCATGGTTTGCCTTTTTGTTGGCCTTATTGGCGTCGGTAAGTTTTGATTTTTCCCCAGTTTATATCTGATTTTATAACCTTTTCTCTTTTTTCTTTCTGCAATTTCAAACTGAAATTTTGGTTGTCTTGTTAGGAAGAATTTACCTTGGGATGCACAGTTTGGTTGATATCATAGGCGGTCTTGCTTTTGGATTGGCAATTCTTGCATTTTGGATTAGTGTTCATGAATACATTGACGATTTCATAGTTTCTGGGCAAAATGGTATGTATATTTCTACTTACTACTTCAAAATATCAGATTTTGTGTTAGAAGTGAGGATATTGTTAGTCATTGTTCAACAGCTGAAATATATTGAAGGCCAGTAAACTGATCTTGTGAAAACCAAGTAGCTAGGCTTCTGAAAATATTGATTGAGGTAATTAGCAGTCAAATGGCTGCAAAAGATGCTTTAATGGTGTACTTGGAACCTAAAACAAGCCAACTTCCCCAACCGTGGCTTTCAGATCCAACTTTATGGGTTGACTATGGCTATATAGCCCTATAGGTGAATGCCAAAGACTGATAAGAAATTTTAAAGTGACATATTGGGGAACCTGCCATGACAATCATAAATATGGGTTGGTCATAGACTTTGGCATCCTGGAAGGACAAGTTTCATATAGCAACATGTGAGTGTGCTCAATGTAACAGTTTTAGTTTCTTCTTAAATTGGATTGGAGATAGGTTTCTTTTTTGGAGTGATGAACAGTCTAAGGGGCAATATGGTTTACTAGGTATAAAAGTGGGGTTCTTAAAAAATAAACAATGAGAACCCTGCATACATGGACAAGATTTTCAAAGAATAGTCGAGGACCAGCTCTTGCTGGAATGGAGGCTAGTAAGAAAGATTTATTTTTTAAATGTTGTCTCTCATAATTTAAGTGGACTACAAAAACCTGCATAAACAGAAGAGTAGCTTTCTATAGAAAATAAAAAAAATAGAAAACAATGAGGTTTTGAGTTTGTAAGCTTACAGGCAGGATTTTCATGATGTCTTGTATTTCTCTCTTCTTTTGGATGTGACTGACAGAAAATTGTAGAAGTACCCTCATTTCATGATTTATTAAATCCAAGAGGTGATGTCACTAATGGATAGCGGTTACTTACTTTTCTTTGTTTAAGTATTAAAGATAAAGGTAGCCTCTCCAGATTCTGTGAATGAAAAATGATGCTCCTATCTTTAATTTGATAGAGGGAAGAATCACCTGAACTGTGTGTTGATCAAAATGAAACAATTGTTTGAGGTCCCAAATATTCAGTGAATCATTTTTTTTAGTAGAATAAATTCCATTAAGAAGCACCAAAGGGGACAGAAACCATGAAATGATTTTGTAATTGCTTGACAAAATGCCAAAATTTGTAAAACTTTAGCATCTTGTTGAGATACTTGGAACACTATACGTGGAATAAGGTAGAATTTGGTTAAAATTAGAAATACCAAACATTTGAAATTTGAATGTCTCAAAATTTAAACAAGACGCTGAGCTGAGAACTTGGTAATGTGGCCTGGTGTTCATTATTCTAATTATGCACACTTTGTTTCTATTGCAGTTACATCATTTTGGGCTGCCCTTAGCTTCGTGTCGTTGTTTGCTTACCCAACACCGGAGTTTCCAACTCCAAGCTTTGAGTATCACACAGCCTTCAGTGGTGTTGCATTGGGAATTGTAAGCACAAACTTGATTCTCTTCATTGTTTAATATTAACATTACGGTGGTGCTACATGCACCAATTAATGTACACATTAGTGTACCAACTAGTGTTATATCATTATTAGTGACTCCACCTATTATACAAATTACAAATATCTAAAACCTCTAAAATTATGCCACATCATCTGTTAGTATACTAATTAGTACATTAATTGGTACACATAGCATTATTCTTAACATTATTGCCTAGTTTCAATCAGAATATCATTTGGTTTTATTTCAAGTTATTAGCGGTTGATCAGGGACAATTGGAAACTTTCTTAGATAAGATTTTATGGCTGTTATTTGACGTGAAACTCTCGAAGGCAGTAAAACTCATAGCATAAGCATTTTGACTTGCCCCAACGAAATCTTGGTAAAGAAAATGAAATATATGGATTTTGACCTGGTAACCTTAGTTGTGTTCAAGAAAACTTTCTCAAGCCTACAGAACAAGGAAACTCTTGTTTTGTTTGAATTGTCTTTGTATTGAAGTGAGTTCAACATGTGCTGGGTCCTAGAGTTATAGTTTGCAATCAAGACAAATTGGCTTTGGTCAACCTAGCCCACCTCAAATAGGCTTAGATTGGAATTTAAATTCCAGATTGGCCTGTTTTTGGACAATTTGTCAACATGTCCTTAGTGGGCTTGGCCACTACCCTTTTAGACCTACTGTTCTGTCTCTCTCTCTCTCTTCCTTTGACCCCCACCACCAACAGCCACCCATCATATTCACCACTGCCCACCATCTTCACCAATTGCTGCACTCAGAGCCATCTTTGTGAAGCTGCCACCCAAGACCTTCTCTCCCAAACCCCCAGGCACACCACCACTGCCACAAGCATATATATAAACATAATATTGTTTTCTTGTTTATGCAGATCTTCACCACTGTAAATGCTTCTCTCTCTCTCTCTCTCTCTCTCTCTCTCTCTCGTTATCTATACTGAGTAGGGGGGGAACTAAGTTGGGCATTGGTACCTGGCCACTGTAGCCCTCCATTTTTGTGTGTGTGTGTGTATTTGTATACATTTAAAGGTTTTTGGGCAAGAAAACAGAAGTACATTAAAAGAGTAAAGCGTACATCAAACATGCTCCCAATAACACAAGATACATAGACCCAAAAAGCAACCAGCTAACAGTGAGTCCACTACACGATTCAAACCCTACTAAAGAACCAACAAAATGAGACATAGTCCAGGACATCCAATATTCGAAATACAACAAAATTAAAACAAATGAACATGTTAAGGTAATGTCAGACAGCTTTAGCAGCCACCAGCATCCTTCATTATCAATAGGAAAATAACTACATATATTTCTATGCCTCCGTTTGGGAAGTGGGTTGGCTTTTTAGCTTTTTGGCTTTTTTGGCTATTTTAGCCTGGGCTAAAAAGCTTGGTTTGGGAAGGGCTTTTTGGCTTTTTGGATTTTTGGCTTTTTTTTGTGAGAGAAAAGTGTAATGATTATGGGTTGGATGTGATGTTTTGTTTGTTGTGGCTAAAATAGCCTGTTTTGTCTTTTGTGGCTATTTTAGCCCCAACCCACTTGCCAAACACCACCATAGTATCGTTGTGTTAAACATGCAATAAGCAAAGATTATCATACTATAATTATGATAAATTTATTAAGGCGGCACTTTTTTACTACAACCTACAACTTTTTAGTCGGTAATAAAAATTGGCTGAAAGGAAAAATAAAATTTCTATTAATTTTCATTGAATGTTATTAATTAAATTAAATTGACATAATATAAAAAATTATGTTACATGGACTCGGGTACGGGTGTCGGGTGCGGGTATGTATCTAGAGGTCGGACTCATCAAATCATAAATTTAAGGATACGCGGACTCGGCAAAAAAATGTCATATTTTTATATTTTTAATCTAATATGTGAGATAAAATGGTATTATATTTAACTTATAGTGTCAAAATGACATTTATAGCAATTATATAACAATATATACATATAATAATAGTGTTATATACAATTATATAAGAAGTATCCGTTGAAAAGTATCCGACACATATCCCATACCCTTGTCCGAGTGTCGGGTGTCCAACACGGGTATTTGATTTAATTTGAAGAGTCCATGTAACATAGGTGGTGATGCTGCATGGAGGAGTGAGGGAGAAGAGAGAAGAGAGAAGTGAGAATAGAGAATTGGTTGTGAAGGTAACATTGGGGTGGGGGTGTTTGGGAACACAAATAATTTTAGTAAGTAGAGATCAAAATTTGCTAACATTTTGTTAGGACCATTTCCATCACTGATGGCTAGATAACGAAGGGAGGTATGTGTATTTTGTCAGCAAAAGTAAAAGAGGACACTGTAATTTTAGAAATCTGAGGAGAGATCTGTGTTATTAGCCCATCCACAAACAACCTAAAGTTGGGGATCAAGATGCACTATTCATGTTTTGAAAAAAACAATATAATAAAAGGTAAGCTATTGTTGTATGTGTGCTGTTCAAATTCCTTACCGGCCTAGAAAACATCACTTTTTTTGTATTGCTTAGTCCTAAATGCTTTGATTGTTTTTTCTTTTTCTTTTTCTTTTTCTTTTTTATTTTTTATTTTTTATTTTTTATGTTTCGTTCAGGGTACACATTTTTATTTTATGCAAAATGAATGTTATACAGGTAACTGGGATCCAGCAAACTTATCATCAGTTTCACCATGATGCTCCACTGGTCTTTACCCCTCAACTCACAATTCCCGCCTTTGTGGGAAGAATACTAGTGGGAATTCCAACGATACTCCTCGTGAAGTTCTGCAGCAAGGCCCTCGCGAAATGGAGTCTTCCTATGGTAGCCAACACCTTGGGAATCCCAATAAAATCATCCGGCTACATCCCAGCTCTATGTGCTTCAAATACCAGTAAGAAGTCGGATGAAACTAGGCAATCAAGTTATGTCCAAAAGCTGTTGTTCTTCTCCTGCCAGGACTCATTTGATGTTGATACTGGCATTAGACTTCTCCAATATGCTGGTCTTGCATGGTCTGTGGTTGATCTTGTTCCGTCTCTTTTCTCTCACCTGAACTTGTAGTGTTTGGTAGCTCTCTCTCTCTCTCTCTCTCTCTCTCTCATTTTCACTTATTGTGGATTTTTTTCTCCCTTAGCAGATATCAAGAGAAATATATTGTTATTTTGATTTCGTAGGATATATTGTTGGGTAAAGAAACATCTAGTATATAATTTTGTGTAAATTGATTATGAGTGAAATTGAGCTTATTTTTTACTATTAGTGAACCTAATTTTTTTAGCTTGGCTTTGGATATTTTTCATGCAATTTCCCCCAGTATGCTAAATGAAACAACTAATGCTGGATGCTCATATTTATTTATTTTTCTATGGTAACTGAACAAGAAATCAAATTTTTTAGAAAACCCTATCCATTTTCTTCTCATTTTCTCTTGTCCCAAAAAAAAAAAAAAATCTCTTTCCATTTCATTTATTTTTCTCTTTGATTTTCCTTTCTTTTTAACAAATCCAAAAGCCAGACATAGCATAAAGATCCAGTTTGATTGATCAAATGATCCAAAAATTATCCAGCATTTTTTTTGGCATAATCAACTGAAAAATAGTGTTAGCTTCTTGACACTGGCAAAAGAAAATAACACAAAGGTGCCCGAAGGACATGGAAAACCAAATTCATTTGGATTGTGTTTAGTTCATGGATTTCGAGAGTGATTTAAAAAGAAAAATAAAAAATATATAAAACTTAGGTGAAATGTAATTATATTTTACTCATAATTTACTTATATTTTTCTTTCTAAATTCTTTCAAAAATTTATAAATCAAATACAACTTGAGAGCACTAACAATATACTGCAAATTGATATTGCACCATTATTGTCGAAACCCACAGAGCCATCGCCATTGTCCCATCCCACAAAGACCTACCACCACCACAATGGTATGACCCTACCCATCCATCATTCGTCTCCTCTCACCGGAGATGTGGTGCCCACTGTGCACCCAGCACAACAGACACTACTGTGCAACCTTATGGGCTTATTTCGGGGTCTGTTTTGATAATTCGAACCGTTCATATTTTAGAGTACATCGAGTAGAACATGCCTGTAAAAAAGTTAAGTTAATCAGATATCGTTAACCCTTTCATTTATTCACATTTGTATTCATTTTAAAACATTAAATCATAATGTCTTTTATTTTTGAAGATACAAATGTAATTGGATGAAGGGGTTAACGATCTCCGATTAACTTAATTTTTTATAGATATATTCTATTCGATATATTCTCAAATGTGAATGCTTCAGATTATCGAAATGGACTCCGAAATAAGCCCATAAGGCCACAAAGCAGTGCTTGCTGTGCTAGGTGCACAACAGGCACCCCAGCTCCCCTTTCACCTCCGAACACGATCACTAACTGTATCCATGACCATCTCCGTCTCCATCTGATCACAAAGTTCAAATTGCAAATGAATGTGACAGTTTCAAGACCCAAATTGCAATTAAGACAATTACGATCTCCATATGAGGGAAGATAACTGAGATCGAGAGGAAGAAAAAGAAGAGGTGGCTAGTTGAGGTGGATGGGGGTTAGGGATTTGTGATCTAACAAGGAAAATGATGTCGATTGAGATTTGGGGTGCTTGCGATCTAGTTAAGTTCATATTTATAGATGATATATGGTTATGATTAGAAAGTTAATGAGTAAATTACAAATACATCTCATGGAGTTTGCTTAAAATGCGAATTGCTTCCTGTGGTTTGGAAAATTACAAATACCTCTCTGTCAGAATTTTTTATTTAACAAAATTAATTGAAAAAATGAAATTTTTAACTATTCACCTATACAATAATAAAATTATCTGAATTATTATTTGAAATAAAATTTTAACATTATTAAATACCGTTAATTAACTTGATGATTTATTAATAAAATGATTCATTTGTTATGAAATTAGAAACCTTAAATGGCATAATATAATTTCTAGAACTACAAGAGGTAATTTGTAATTTGAATAAACGTCAGGGGTGTATTTGTAATTTATCCAAAGTTAATTGATAAAAATGGTGATGGTGATTTAGTGTGGTCAATTTTAAATTACAATTAAAATTAAGTCAAAATAGTGAATGAGGCAGTACTATGCGAAACCAAAAAAAATGTGAGATAAGTTATGAATTACGGGTGGGCGCGGATCGGTTGCGGTCACGGAACTTCTAATTCACCATCCGTCCGTCAGATTGGTGGATTAGAGAAAATCAATCCACATCTGTCCGCCAATCCAGCGGATGTGGATTGAGCGGATTGGCAGTTTGGCGGATGGATGCGAATCGGTTTGGCGGTTTTAAATTTATAAATTTTCAACATAATTCAACTTGTGCACTTACTCAAAAAAAAATATATATATTATAGTCAACGACTTAAAAAAATATTACCATCACTGCGTGTTTTATTCAAAGCAAGAAAGTTTGAAATTTTAGAATATCACAATCACTGCATGCATTATCCACATACTACAATCGCAACATACTTCATCCACATAAAGTATTACAATCTGTGGTTCTTAAAATATAAAAACAATTCAAACCACCAAAACTATGAACAAAGCAGTAGTAGAGATTGTATGTCTCTGTATTGTTACATCTATATTTGTTTTTGAAAATAAAAACCAATCAGCATATATCATATTTTCTATTTATTATTTTTAGAGATAGATTTAAAAACCAAAAAAATATAGATAAATAATACGTTTATTTTTTTCAATTCAAAAAAGATATTCAAGTTGAAAACTGTTTTTTAATTGAAAACACAAATAAAATATTTAAACAAACTGAAAACACAAAGTCTTATAAATTACTAGGGGTGCTCGCGGTTTGGCGGTTCGGTTGCCGCCAAAGGAATCTCAAATTCGCCATCCGTCCGCCAGATTGGCGGATTGGAGAAAATCAATCCGCAACCGTCCGCTCGTCATCACGCATCCGTCCAAAATGCGGCGGATCGGTTCGGTTCGGTCCGTTTTGGCGAATTGGTATATCCGTTGCTCACCCCTATTATGAATGAATGAATGGTTTAAATTGTGTTCAATTTTGAATACTCAAAAAATTATTTGAAAATTTAAAATTTAATTTGTTTTAAAGGTTAAACTTTTGTGATTATTTTTATAAATTTCTCAAAATTATTATTACAAGGGACTTGTCAAAAAAACGAATCCTATTTTTATTTTCTAAATATTTGTGGGGGTTCAAATAGGAAAAACAGGTATGAGCTATCTGAATTTTGTTGTGCCTTCATAGTGAACATTGATGAGTTGTTTGGGGTATCCTAAATAAATGTATTTTTTATCTTTTTGGACTAAAAAGTTAAGGAAAAAAATATGGATGTTTGGGTTAATTTTTTGACTTTTCATGAAAAAATATGTAATAAAAAATTGTAAAAATTAGTTTGTAGAGGAAAATTAGAATTGGGAGTTGTGCAGCCGTAATTGTTGATTTTGGTAAATAGTGTTAACTTTTTAATTTTTTGAATAACTTTTTTACTTTTTGACTTTTTTTACATACCCCAAATTTGGCGTCAGTGTAAATTATAAATACAGTATCTAAAATTCGACTAAAATACAAAGTTAACTATTCTTATATCTTATATAAAACAATAAAATTAACAAAATTATTAACTGAAATATATTAATGATAATTATTAAATATTTTTAATTAGCTTAATGACTGATTAATAAATAGAGACAATATATTATACAATTCAAATTTAAGAAAAATAAAATTTTAATTTTTATAACTACAAAACACAATTAATATCTATTCATAGTTTAGGCAAAGATCAACTAGTAAATCCAACAAAAACAACAGCAAAGCCTGATCTATATATTTCTAACCGTTATTTTCGCTTCTTGTCCGATTTATTTTTTATTCTCCTCCGTACAAAAAAGGGGGGCTTATTAGGGTTTCTGGAGTTCTCTCCTTCCATTGCCAGACAGAGGTTCGTCTCTCTCTCTCTCTCTCCATACACATACATACATACATACATACATACATACATACATACATACCTATGAAAGTGTTCTCTCTCTGGACTTTTTGTCTCATCATCTGTTTCGTATCTTTCTCTGAAACGCTTCTCTCTGTAACGCTTCGTGCCCATTTTATATTTCTTCGTTACTGTTTTGAATACACGATCATCATTATTTTTGGTTAATATAACTTGTTTTGTCGTTAAATATGTGATGATGATTACGTTGTTCTTATGTTATATTTGTCTTTTGTGTATTTAATTATTATTCACTTGTATTGTTGTAAGAAATTGTTGCGCAAAATCATATCACTTGTTCTGGTAGATTCTTCTGGTTAGTCACATTGTTTTTTAATTCCTATTGTGCTTTTTGTTGATTATTATTATTTTGTGTTTAATTGATCAGGGTTTTGATCTGTATCTTTTAATTCAAGTGGTGTTAAGAGAAATTTGGATTTCGCGTTTATTATTATTGTTTTTGGAGGCTGGGGCTTTGGCTGTGATTGTGGATTGTGGATTTGGAATTTGAATTGGGTGCTGTGGAAAAGTAAAGGGTTTAAACTTTCAATCATGAGCACATCATGGGCTGATTCTGTTGCTGCTGATAATAATGCAGCTTCTGGTTCCTCGAATATTAATGGGACAGGAGTTGCTTCCCGTCCGGTCAGGTCTACTTATGTACCACCACATCTTCGAAACAGACCGCCCACGTCAGAGCCACCATTTTCATCACATAGTGCCCCACCATCAGATAATGACAGGATTGGCTATGGTGGATCCACAAGTGGGTCAAGACCAGGAGGTTCTAGGCCTGATTATGGGCGCCAAGGATATGGTAGTGGTGGTCGAGGAGGTGGTGGTTGGAACAGCAGAGGTGGGGGATGGGATCGTGGGAGGGAGCGCGAGGTAAACCCTTTTGGTAATGATGATGTTAATGAGGAGGCAGAGCGTGCATTTGATGAGCAGGAAAGTACTGGTATCAACTTTGATGCTTATGAGGATATTCCAGTGGAGACAAGTGGGGAAAATGTGGCCCCTCCTGTGAATACATTTGCAGAGATAGATTTGGGGGAGGCCCTGAACCTAAATATTCGGAGGTGCAAATATGTGAAACCAACTCCTGTGCAGCGTCATGCAATTCCCATTTCCCTTGCGGGTAGAGATTTGATGGCTTGTGCTCAGACTGGTTCAGGCAAGACAGCTGCTTTTTGCTTCCCAATTATTAGTGGAATTATAAGGGGTCAGTTTGAGAGGCCACGAGGATACCGGACTGTGTACCCTCTTGCGCTCATTCTGTCTCCTACAAGGGAGCTCTCCATGCAGGTAGGTTTGGGACTTAAAATTATACATTTTGGTGCATGTAACTTTAATAGGTATGACTTCAATTTCTCCGATCATTTTGATTTGCAGATACATGAGGAAGCTCGAAAGTTCTCTTATCAAACTGGGGTGAAGGTGGTAGTTGCTTATGGAGGAGCACCAATCAACCAACAGGTTATTATTATTACTATTATTTTTAATTTTTTTTTTAAATGTGTTAAGAAAGTGAGTGTGTTCCTTAGGATGTCCAAAACGTGTCCCTAACATGTCTTTAGTGTGTCCCTACATTTCCATTAATCAAAAATAATTTTGGATACTTTTTTATGTGCCCAAGTGTGTCCAGGTCTTAGACGTGAACGCCACTAATACTTAGGTTTGGGAGAAGTGTCCATGCTTCCTAGTGAATGGGAGACAAAATTTTCCTTTTCCCTTCAACTCAATCCCATTTAATTTTTGAGTACCTACAATATGGTATACATAATTTTATGATACTATACAATAAATTTTAAATGTTCAATACATGGCCACATATCGATATTGATTTAGGGTTTAGGAAGGTACAATTCCTAGACACATATCTACACCCAATGTCCGTACCCGAGTCCTTGTATTATCACACACACACATATATATATATATATATATTGGTAAGAGTGAAATATTTTGTAGGTTTGGTGTAACTCAAAATCATTTATATTAAAGTTGACAATCATGTCACTTATTTCTGGACAGTTCTACTGCTTGGAATATAGTTGGTTTCTTGTTTCTCATTTGAAAAACAGTTTATCATTTTGTATTTCTTACTTTGAGTAGCTTTGTTGACTTTGATGGCAGTTTGAGTATTCAGGTTCTTATTATTGATGTCTGTGGTCAGTTGCGAGAGCTTGAGAGAGGAGTTGATATTCTTGTGGCAACTCCTGGGCGGTTAGTTGATTTGCTTGAGAGAGCAAGAGTGTCATTGGAGATGATTAGATATTTGGCTCTTGATGAAGCAGATCGAATGTTGGATATGGGATTTGAGCCACAAATCAGAAAGATTGTGGAACAAATGGATATGCCTGCACCAGGGTTACGACAGACACTGCTATTTAGTGCAACCTTTCCGAAGGAGATCCAGGTTTGTTAATTGTCTATATAAATTTCTTGGCAATTTTTTTTGTATATGTTCATCTAAGACTTATGTTATCAATTTTATCTTTGTTGCATGTTATTAGGGTTACCATAGTATCATAAAACATTAGTCTCATACATCTTCCTACGTGGAGTTCATAGTATTTTGTCATCACAATGTATTGCAATAAGTCCTTATCTTTTTGCTTTAGTTATGGATAAGTCCTTGTTTTTTTGCAGTAAGTTCTTATCGTGTTAGTGGATGAGATTAGAAAAGAAGTTAACACTAAGTTGGAGACGTGGAGAAAAACACTTGAATCTAAAGTATTTAGGATAAATAGAACTAAGACAAAGTACATAGAGTGTAATTTTAGTAACAGTAATAATGGAAGCAGAGGAGAAGTGACGATTGAGAACCAAGAACTATCTAAGAGTGAACATTTTCGTTATTTAGGATCGATTATCACAATGGTTGGGGAGATTGGAACAGATTTGATCCATAGAATTAAGGTAGGGTGGCTTAAGTGGAGAAGTGTGCCTCGGGTACTGTGTGATAAACGAGTAGCCACTAAACTAAAAAGAAAGTTCTATAGAATGGCTATTAGACTAGCGATGTTATGAGATGGAAAGCTGGGCAACTAAGAAATAACAAGTAGATAAAGATGAGTGTTGCTAAGATAATGATATTAAGGTGGATGTGTAGCAAGACTAGAAAAGACAGAATTAGGGATGAATATATTCGTAAATGAGTAGGAGTAGCATTGATAGAAGATAAGTAGAGAGGAGTTAACACTAAGTTGGAGACGTGGAGAGAAACACTTTAATCTAAAGGATTTAGGATAAGTAGAACTAAGACAGAGTACATAAAGTGTAATTTTAATAACAGTAACAATGGAAGCAGAGGAGAAGTGAAAATTAAGAACTAGGAATTATCTAAAAGTGAACATTTTCTTTACTTAGGATCGATTATCATAACGGTTAGGGAGGTTGGAGCGGATGTGGCCCATAGAATTAAGGCAGGGTGGCTTAAGTGGAGGAATGCACCTGAGGTACTGTGTGATAAACGAGTAGCCACTAGACTAAAAGGAAAGTAGCTATTAGACTAAAAGACAAGTCTTATAGAACGGTTATTAGACCAACGATGTTATGGGATGGAATGTTGAGCAACTAAGAAACAACATGTAGGTAAGATGAATATTGCTGAGATGAGGATGCTAAGGTGGATATGTGGCAAAACTAGAAAAGACAGAATTAGGAATGAGTATATTCGTGAATGAGTAGGAGTAGTACCGATAGAAGATAAGTTGAGAGAAAATATATTAAGATGGTATGGTCATATATAACGGAGGCCAACAGAGTTAGTAGTAAAGAGATGTGATACAGTGACGGTAGATGGAAGTGTTAGGGGAAGGAGCAGACCTAAATTGACGTGGGCAGACCTAAATTGAGATATAAATCTCCTTAATTTGACTAACCAAATGGCCGTTGATAAAGTCGAGTGGAAAAAAAGAATTCATTTAGCCGACCGCATTTGATGGACTTGGGACTTGGATTAAAAAAAAAACTTCTATTATTCTATACAATTTGAACTTTTAAACCATTAATATATTAATAAAATCTCTATGTAATGTTACCAAAGACATTGGATCAATTCTACCTTCCAGGGTTGAGGTTTTCATAGGTAGGTGAAGGGTACCCCATTGGAGCATCATACTTGGGTCTCAAACTGTAGGCCTCATACTTGGGCCAGAACGTCTGAAGAATACACATACAGCGGTTCACGAGGACTTCAAGTTCTTGAGAAGCAGGTGTATTGGCTTCTTGGTGCATGTCTTCAGGATAACTTTGTTAGATTACCTCACCATTATGGAAAAAGCATATAGTAGGAAATTCTAAACTTGAGGCATCCTCCGCAGGGGCTGCCAGGGCTGGTGCTAACGGACATTTCAGGGATCCCTAATGAAAGACATCCTTTCAAGCTTGATTTTGTTTTTCTCAGAATACTCACCTAAAAAAATAAATAAAAAGCATAAAAGAAAAAGGAAAGGTGTCCTGTATAGCCCAACCATCAAGGTAGGTTTATTTATATAGAATTCCTTGTTAGTTCATTGTTTATGTTTGTGTCATTTAATGCCAAATGTTATAGGGTGTGTTTGGTTTGGTTTTGGGAGATAAATTTTCAAAAAAAAAAGTTTAGGGAGAGAGTTTAGAAATTTTTTTTTGGCTTGTTTAGTTGTATATTTTGAAAATAGTTTTGGAGTATGAGAGTTTGGGATGATTTGATATTTTATTGTAGTTGAGTAGATGTGTGTAAGAGAAAAAGTGATTAAGAATGAGAGAGGAGAGAGAAAAAGTGATTGATTGATATGTAGGAGATAGAAAGTGATTTTGAAAACTTTTTTCCAAAATCACTAAACCAAACAAAATTTTAGAAAATTTTCTCAAAAACAAACCAAACAGGGCCAAACTGTTGGAGATGCTCTTGGGTGTGTTTGGTTTGGTTTTGGAAGATAAATTTTTAAAAAAAATCTTGAGGAAAGAGTTTAGAATTTTTTTTGGTTTGTTTGGTTGTATATTTTGGAAATAGTTTTGGAGTATGGAAGTTGGATGATTTGATATTTTGTTATAGTTGAGTAGATGTGTGTGAGAAAAAAAGTGTTATAGTTTTGGAGTATGGAAGTTGGATGATTTGATATTTTGTTATAGTTGAGTAGATGTGTGTGAGAAAAAAAGTGATTGAGAAGGAGAGAGGAGAGGGAAAAAGTGATTGATTGATGTGTACGAGAGAGAGAGAGAGTGATTTTTGAATTTTTTTCCAAAAAATTTCCAATCAAACAAAATTTTGGAAATTTTTTTCAAAAATTGTGTTTTGAGAGTCAAACCAAACAAGGCCATAGTCTTTTGCATGTATTATTTTCTCTACTAAGGCATCAGACCTAAGAAGTGTTGACAAAGACATTGATACAAACACTGATGCAGTACTTTAAAATATATATATATATATACAGGATATGGGCACAACAAGGATATAGTAAAAAAATATATTTTTTTAAATATTTTTATTTGCCATGTATTCGAATATAAATTTAGAACATTGAGATATGAGAGACATTGATGTATATGTAGGTGTATTATTATTAATTTTTCACTTTACCCTCTATTTGTTTTCATATGTTTTGCTTTGACACAAAATTAACTTTCTATAAATTTAGCATCCTCAACCTGTTTTAGGAAAAAAATAAAAATAAATAACAATTAAAAAATTGATAGTCCACATGGAATCTCCGACTTGTAGCACATGTCTTCACCATGGTGGTGTTTGACATGTGTTGGATACGAACATGACACCTATTTTGGAGTGTCTGTACTTCCTAGCATCATACAAATTAGGGAAAAATCTTCTTTTTGCCCTTGTGGTTTTGGCCTAGAGCAGTTTACCCTCTTGCATTTAAATGTATGGAAAGATCTCTCGTGTGGTTGGCTTACAATATTGTGTAAGCTTTTGATTTTTTTTTTTTTTTTTGGGAAAAGAATGTGCAGAATGTGTAATGGTGTGTAACGGACCGTTACGGACGTTACGGTATCGTTATGTCAGTTACATAACACCACAACGACCATTACACGTGTGAATTTCAATCACACCGCAAAAGCGGGTGTAACGGATAGCGCCTACTGCAGCAACCGTTACGTAACACCGCTTTTTAAAACCTTGCTCTCACCCAGTCAATTTATGTTAACATGACATACTTGTAATTAGTGATTAATTAAACTCCAATTATAAATATAGATGTAATTTTATCAAAAAAAGGTAACTAATAAATGGTGTAGTATAGAATGATATTGTGCTATGACACAGTGCCATCTTAGCACAACCTATACTCAACTGTTAGAGTGAGTGTTTTTGTTGTACTCTGCTATGTTAGCACTGCTAGAGCTTACACCAAAATACTTCATTGCTGAAGCGGCTATGGTTTGTATGCAGAGACTAGCATCTGATTTCCTTTCAAACTACATATTCTTAGCTGTTGGAAGAGTTGGTTCAAGTACTGATTTGATTGTTCAAAGAGTTGAATTTGTTCATGACTCTGACAAGAGAAGCCACCTCATGGACCTTCTTCATGCACAAATGACTAACGGCATTCATGGCAAGGTAATATGCAAAGTGCTTTATGTATCATTCAATTTGGATTTACCTGTGGAATGGAGTCCATGTTTTGATCTGTACAAGGAGTGTTATTATGTATTATAATACGAGTGAACTAATCAAGGAGGAAAAGGATTTTTATTTTTTATTTTTTAATAGAAAAAAAACTTACTGATGCATAGCCTCCTCCTGACTATTAATGCTTACTGTTAATTTTCTAGTCAGATACATTATATGTTTGGTTCCAGTTGGCTTGCATTGCTTGATTGAATTTTGAATGTCTTTAAATTTTGCAGCAATCTCTGACTTTGGTATTTGTGGAAACAAAGAAGGGAGCTGACGCATTGGAACATTGGTTGTATACTAGTGGGTTTCATGCCACTACTATTCATGGAGATAGGACACAGCAGGTGAGTTGGAAAGAATTTTGTGTATATTATTATCTTGTTTAATTTTTTAATTTTCAGCATGCTTGTTAACATAATCATCATGCTGCCTAAATATGCCGTTGCAGCTGTGTGCTACTATGTGATAGTTTATCTTCTTGTCTTCCCTCAATTTTGTTCATAGGAACTAATTTAGTGACAATTGGTTGGTTACAAGTTAAAACTGGAGATGTGAAAGGCATAACCAAAGGATAATGAAAATGTTGAACTCTGGTGGAGGAACTTATCTCTTTTTGTGGAGGAGTTGTGACCTCATCAAGTTTTTGTCACCATGTGAGAATTTCAATAATTTGGAATGGGAGAGGATTTTTGTGGATTCCTCGAGGAAAATGTTCCATAACTTATCCCTCTTTGTGAACAAGGAAATGTGCGAGGATTTGTGATCTCATCAAGTTGCTTGTCACCTTGTGAGAATTTCAATCATTCGGAATGGGAGAGGATTTGTGATCTTATCAAGTTTGTTGTTACCTTGTGAGAATTTCTATCATTCAGAAGGGAAACTGTCGGCTCTCTTGGGCTGATTTTCCACTATTACGGATTTGGAAGTTACAACTGTGGATCTGACAATTATCTTTAACTTAAATCTTACATAAAATACAATGGCTTGTTGTTCAGCTTTAAGAACCTAAAATTACAGCTTTGTTAGCGTGTTTTTTATTTTTATTATTATTATAAAAAAAATTGAACGGTGTGCAATGTGGTGTTGTTAAACAACTACGCGGTCTAAACTTGAGTTTCTTAGTATCTAAGAAGCATGGATACGGACACGCGACACTACGTGGATACGACACGGACACTTTCTGTTAGTTCCTTTGTCAGATAATGCTCTCTTTTTTTAAGAGAACAATTTATCAGAGTTCGTTGGAAGGTCACTCTATATATTTACATCATTTTTATGGTTTTGTACGCAGGAAAGAGAACAAGCATTGAGATCATTTAAGAGTGGAAATACACCGATTTTAGTTGCTACAGATGTTGCAGCACGCGGACTCGATATTCCTCATGTTGCTCATGTGGTCAACTTTGACCTCCCCAACGACATTGATGATTATGTACACCGGATAGGACGGACAGGGCGAGCTGGCAAGACAGGATTGGCAACTGCTTTCTTTAATGAGAACAATTTATCATTGGCAAAGCCACTAGCTGATCTGATGCAAGAATCTAATCAAGAGGTACCCACTTGGCTCACCCGGTATGCAAGTCGGGTTTCTTATGGAGGGGGGAAAAATAGGCGGTCTGGTGGAGGACGTTTTGGTGGCCGTGACTTCCGAAGAGAAGGCTCTTTTAGTAGGGGTGGAGGTGGAAGTAGTGGTGGTTATGGGGTTTCTGGTAGTTATGTTGGTGGATATGGTTCTGGAGCGACCAGTGCTTGGGATTAGGGTTCCACAATATATTCAATTTGTTCTCATAGTATATATATATATATTTCCGTTAGAATTTAAAGGGTTTCTGTTTTTCCTTATTTTTCCAAAGTTTAGTTTGAGTTCCGATCCCTTTAGTTCTAGTGTAGATAATGCATTTTTTGAGTGATTCTTCTTCCAGAGATGCTGGGAGATGTGTGTGAACGTTGCAACTTGGCCAGGTTGAGGTTTTTGTCCAAACTTGACTTGAAGTGTAGCTGAATTTGCTCTAGCCTAGCTCAAGTTCAAAGTGGGCAATAATTTCTTTGTTGTAGAGTAAAAAATCTACAGAGAGGGTGGGAGGCGCAATCTAAAGCATCCGATCCAATATAAAAGGTGTCAATGTATTATTTTAAATCTAGATTTAAAAAACGAATTTGAGAGTATTAGTTTAATGGAGTTAATTAACTTGATGAATATGATTTTTTGAAATTTTTCTGTGAATGATTTTCTTTGTTTAAAAATATTAATTCATCTTTTCTATTTTTTGTTTATTTATTTATTTATTTTGTTATCCGTCATTTTAGAACTATTAGTTTGCATTCAATAATTAACCTCTTAACAAATTTTTTCTCTCTTCATTTTCACTTACCTAAGGGGAGCTCAAGTTTGATTGGTTTGAGTATATATGCCCACCCTAACCCTTTCCTGCTCTCTTTCACTACCGTCACCCCTTTTGGTAGGCACCTTCCTCTTCATTGTCAATTTTGACAACCCACTCTTGCCCTCGCTCGCCCTTGGACAACAACTTTTCCTCAGCCCTTTTCTAGCCTCAGTTACCACCTACGTTGCAATCAACTGAGATAGAGAGAAATAGTGAAATAAGAAAATAATGGAGAGGGAGAAAGGGAGGTTCGCAGTGGAGATGATTTGTGTTGGTGGAGAGTTCGAGGTGGTAAGGGTTTCAAGGGGTTGCAGTGGATGGGAGTTTGTGGTAAAGGTGGTTTTCGAACTCCCAGTGGTGTCGGGGTTCCTGTGGTTTGTGGCTGCGGCAGCAATGGCCAGAGGTGGAGATGAGGGCGGGTAAGGGGGGCTAGGGTTAAGGTGAAAGCTTGAAAAATGTGGGGGCATTTATGTCATTATGAGTTGTGTATGTATTGAATAAGGGAGCTTCTATTTACACACACTAAACCCCCTTTATACACACACTATGAAGGGAGTGTGTAAAAAGTGTAGTGAGGGGAGATGTGTAGAAAGTGTATATTGTGTGTGTAAATAGAAGCTCCCATTTAATAAGGATGTACGCAAAAAGTTTATATTGTATGGAAATAGAAGCTCCTCATATGACTAGGTTACTAGCCAACGATATGACCAAAATTTTAAGTACGAAAGTTCTGTGGCATTGCTATAATGCCCTTTAATTTCGATTGACACAGTCAACCATCAGAATAAACCATAATTAATGTAAAACAATACATATATGCATGAAGAATGCTTCATATTACTAATTTAACACCATTAATGCACCACTAACGACATGACATCATGTGAATCTCATTATTGATATGATAGTTTGGCCCCTTTTTTTTTCTTTTTTTTTTTTTTCCTTGCACTTGCTAGCTCATTAATGATGCTTTTAGAGCTGTTGATTTGCTGCTCTAAATCGGAACTATATATGCATTGGGTTCTCTCTTATTTAAATATGAGCAGATGCCAACCCTGACCGTAGATAAATTAATTTTTACTCTCGGTGTAATGGCACGTGATGTTTTAACCTGATATTCATTGGTTAAAATAGTGACACATTGATATTTATTAGTTAAAATAGTAGAACACAGTACTTTTTTATTGTGTTTTGGGAGAATAACTTGACAACTGTCGAATGATTAAGGATATAAAACAATACTTTAAGATTAGGGGCAGAGCACTAAAGGTCTAGGAGGGGTCACGTGTCTCCCCTGATATTTCAAATTTTTTTTTTAAAAAAAACATTAACACACAGCCCCAAACCAAACACTGACACCTCACATCTTGATTTCCAATTTTTTTTTTTTTTTGGATCCTAGACTCCTAGCTAAACACTGACACACACAAACACTGATAAACACTAATATATCCCCTCTCCTCCCAATTTTCAAACTCTTGACATTTTTTTTTTAATTCTTAACTTGCTGGGCAAGGGTTAATCTAAAAAAAAAAAAAAAAAACACTTGTTGGGCAAGGCTTTCAGCGACACAGCGACAATTGGCAAGATTTTTAACACTAAAAGTATATGAAGTTTTTTATTTTTTTATTTATTTACAGTACTTGTTAAGTGTCTCCGTATTTCTTTATTTTCTTTGCTTCCCTTTGTTGTTTTACAATTTACTGACTCGCGATTTACCAAATTAGAATCACATAACACAAATTTGGAACCACACTACAATATTGGTGTTTTCTCTTCATTGTTTACGAGTAATTTTATTTATTATTTTTTACTTTTAAATAAAAATTATGAATATTAATTTATAGTTATTTGTTAAGTTTTGGGTTTGTAAAAAATACTATTTGTTATTATTTATGTTAAAATAAGAGATTTTGAAATGCTAAAATTATGATTTTTGATTGGTGGTGTTTTATGTTAAAATTAGGACTTTGGGTTTGTTTGTTGTTTGTGTTAAAATTAGGAATTTGATTTGTGTTAAAATTAAAAATAATAATTTGTGCTAATATTAATTTTTTGTGTTTAATATTAGCTCGAAAAACTATTATTATGTTATTGTTATTAATTGAAAAAAAAAATTAAGATCACAATTAATAGGTGTCCCTTTATATTGAATTTTTGATTCTGTCTTTGTCGAAAGTTAATCAAATAATTACTCCTTATCCTAACCCTAATATATATATATATATAAAATGTGACATGATGTTGACATGATATTTGGTATAAGTCTATATTAAAAAATTATATTTTCAGTGGAACAATGATAAAAAATATGTTTGGTTTGTGTTTGAGAGATGTGTTTTAGAGATAAAAAGTACGAAAAGTTGTTTGGTTTGATTTTTTTGTGTTTAATATTAGCTCGAAAAACTATTATTATGTTGTTGTTATTAATTGAAAAAAAAAATTGAGATCACAATTAATAGGTGTCCCTTTATATTGAATTTTTGATTCTGTCTTTGTTGAAAGGTAATCAAATAATTACTCCTTATCCTAACCCTAATATGTATATATATATAAAATGTGACATGATGTTGACATGATATTTGGTATAAGTCTATATTAAAAAATTATATTTTCAGTGGAACAATGATAAAAAAAATTATATTTTTATGATGGAGTAACTTTTTTTTTTTTTTATGTGCATGATGTAAAATTTACTTTTGTATTTATATATATATTTATAATGTAATTATTTTGCGACTTTGGCTATATTTGTAATTTCTCCTAAAATTGTTGCATGTGAACACGTATGTGAACTCTGGTCGATACTTTTGTCACGACGTTCATAATAATTGATTTACTCTTTCCAACCAACTCACGTACTGTCTCACCTCATTTGTTGAACATCACATACAATTTAAAGAAGGATCGAAATGACTCGTGTGGTTCTCATTGCCCCTAAAACTCTCTTTTCCTTAAATTCCTTTACCCTCTTTTTTTAAAATACTTCTACTCTTGCATTATACCTTAAAATCTAATTATCTTTAATAATTATGGACATATTTGGTGCAATATTTTTAAAGTTAAAAGTTGATAATCAATATGAGAAATTCAAAGTATCACCCATCTAATTTTTAGATTATTAATTTATTTAAACTATTTCTATTTCGTAGTTATAAACAAAAATTAAACTAAACAGACGGACACAATTTTCAAAATAAAACAAAGTTATAGGCAGTTTTATAACCAAGTAGTATGTGTGTTTTAAAACAAGGATAGAAAGCTTAGGGAACAAAATATCCCTTACATTTCATATTTAAATTTGATACAGTGAGAGAGTCACATTTAAATTTTGATTTTTGTGCGTTTATATATATATATATATATATATATATATATTCCTTGCATGCGGTGACCAGTTTAGTAGGTTACAGGTTTTTCCTAGTAAAAAATATTTAATGGCCAAGATCTAAATTTTTAGATCTAAGGGTTAGAAAAGGGGTTGCATTGGTGTGTGGTAGTCATTCCCTATAATTTATATATACATCATCATCATGATTCACAGAATGGGACAATGGGACACTGATATCTCACAAGTAGTATATTGGGGCCGACCTCTTGTGAGATGTCAGTGTTTTATTATGTGAATAATTTTTGTATTCTTAGGCCTCGTTTGTCATGAGGCTATTTTAGTTAATTAGTCAAAAAGTTATTAAATTAGTCAAAAAGTCAACAACTCATATCAAAAAGTCAAAGATTCTCTTTTCTTTTTACTTTTTGCACATCTTTTCGTAATTAGCCAAAAAGTCATCCCAAACATACAAGTTTTTTTTACCTACCTTTTTAGCCAAATAACCAAAAAGTTACTAAATTAGCATGTTCCCAAACGAGGCCTTAATATTACTGTTCTATAAGAATAAATTTATGTGCACAAAAATCATTCATAAAATGAGACACAACCCTCTCATAAGGGATAGAGTTCACATGTGTAGGACCCATATGTGGAAACCACCTCTTGTGAGACGTGTGTGAATAATTTATGTGTTCTTAGCATTATTGTTCTATAAGAATAAATCTATGAGCATGAAACCCTTCATAAAATGGGACAAAGACCTCTCTCTATGGTAGACCCCCTGTGAGAGGTCTGTGTTTTATTCTGTGAATTGTTTCTGTATTCTTAACATATTGTTCTTTAAGAATAATCTATATACACAGAAACAATTCATAGAATAAAACACAAATCTCTTGTGCCCTATTCTGTGAATGATTTTTGTATTCCTAGCATTATTGATTCTATAAACGCATAATTAATAACAAAAAATACACAACTTAAACAACACAAGTGAAGTTGTCTCTCCAATGATAGTTTTTTATTTTTATTTTTTGTAAATGGTTATGTTTCTATATAATTATAAAAACAATGTTTGTTAGAATTAAAACACCAAAAAATACAAAGAAAATGCATGGCTAACCATGCTTAAATTCCAACTATACAATTTTTTTGGTGTACCTGTATGTGTTTTAATTTGTGTTCGGTTAAATTTGTTTTTCCTTGACATCACCACGAATAGAAAAGTGACACTGTCATTATCATTAACCATGCAGAAATAGTCAAAAACTTGAAGACCACATGCCATGGCACCGAAAAACCGGGTGCTTCCTAATCCTGTCCGAAAAACAACTTACAAGGCCTGTGTGTCACACTCACCTCCACCCCCGTCTTCAATCTTCAACCAAGAAAAATATAATTTAAAAAAACATTTTGAGAAAACAAACAAAACAAAACCAAACTTTGAGAAATAAATAACTCACAAAACACCAAAACAACAGGTTAAAGTTTCACATGTCCATGCACAACCAAAAATCTGAATAAACTTCAAAATATATTCATGAAAGTGACTTTTTTTTTTTTTTTTAAAGTTAAATCTAAAGCAATCTCTAAAATCCCATATTTGATTTTTTTTTTTTTTTTTTTTTAAGGTTATAATTTTGGTTGATGATTTGTTTTTCCAAAAATATGTTTCTTCTTTATATATGTAAATTTTATAATTTTGTTTCTGCTTGATGAAAAGAGGATAAAGAGGCCACCAGTGCTTAGCAATTCTCATTGAATGTGATCATAAAAATTCTTACCCACTTCGAGTAAGATAAAAAGGGTCTAGACAGACTCGACAACACATAATACCACACATGGGAATCCAGACGCTGCCTCAATAATGCATTTTAGAATTACATTATCTTCTTCTCTCTCCTTTTGGGATTGATTTGGTTAGGTGTTTGTTTTAGGTAGTGAGAAAAGTGTTTTTTTTTCTTTTTTTTTGGGATTTTAATTTTGATTTAGGTTTGGGTGTGTTGTGGAAATGGAAATGGGGATAGAAACTCCATTGTTGATAAATGTTGAAGGTCCAGACACGACCTACCGGCTGATCAAACGCCATTCAGTTGCTTCTCTCAAACGTGATTTCTTCTCCAAATTGCCAGACAAGGTTAAGTCTGGGCTTGATGATCCTGATCAAACCCTTTTTGAAATTGATCTTTCTAAAGCCACTGGCTTAATTGAAGGTAAGTCTACCTTCCAATCTCTATATTTTGTTTTCTGTTTTTGTTTTTCCAAAAACACTGGAAACTTGTTTGTTTATCTGTTTGTGAAAGCAGCCTATTTTTAAGAAAACATTAAAAAAATATTTTAAAAACGATGAGTGTTTTAGAACTTTTCAATGTCTTTGTTTCCGAAAACAATAAAATTTATACACTACCAAACAAATATGCCATCCTTGTGCTTCTTCTTTTTTTCGCGTTCTCTTTTGTTCATGTAATATAATAATTTTTCTTATTTCAGCAAATCCCAAACTCAGACATGATTGATTTACGCCGTGTTTGGTTGGAGAATTTGGAAAGAGAAAGGAAAAGGGTGTGTGAAACTATGTGAAATATAAGTATATTTTTTTTACATTTCACATACCTTTTCTATTTCTTTTTTTAAATCCATCCTCAAATCTCTCAACCAAACACAGCTGGAATTTGGTTGTGTTTTCGTTTTTCTCCCCTTTTTTTTCATTTTCTATTTTTCATTTTACTTTTGTGAAAATTTTTTATTGGCGTCTTTAACTAGAGGCACAAGGAAATCAAGGTTTCAAGAGCACAAAAGAGAGGAAATGTACATGAGTACTTTGTATTTTCCCTCACCTTTTAAGGTCAAGATCAACATCACATTAAAATGTGTACTGCTTTTTTTATGATCTTAGTCTCGATATATGTATAAAATGAAAAATAATTAATATTGTCAAGACTAGAGTCCAAAATAATGACTCATCATTTGTTGTAATGTCATCGGAAGTTAATAAAATGAGTCTAACAAGTCTCCACTGCCTAAATATTAGCACATGTTTCCTAACATTTTTGAGAGAGATTACGTTTCCTTTTCTTAAGGTTGTTTTTGAATTTCTATTTTTTAAAATGATTTGCGAAGCAAAAAGAAATAGAAAGCGAGTAGTGTAAGGAAATTAGTTTATATTTGATTCACTTTTATTTTATTTTATTTTTGTTTTTCTTCACAATTTTTTTTTTTTTATTTATATATATATAAATTGAAAACTTAAAAACAAGCTAAATTCATAAGTTTTGTTGTTTGTGTTTTAGGGGAGAAAGAATACTATGAAAGACAATTTGCGACATTGAAGGCTTTTGAAGAAGTTGACTCTCTGGATACATCCCGTGTCATTGATAATGAACAAGATCTTCAAGAACAAGCCCAGCATGAAAGAGCCATGAACATTTCTAATTGGGCTAATATTTTTTTACTTGCATTCAAGGTAATCTATGTTTGCTTTCTCTATAATTATTGACTTTCTCATTGTTAGATTATCAATTATTTCAAATTTTTAATTTTTAATATAAGTTAGTTGTCTAACATAATATTTGAATATTGGCTTCATGAGTTTTGAGTCAAGTCTCTCGTTATTACGCTTTATTCTGGTTATTATGTACTAACTTTGTTTACATATATCTAATATAAGGCATGGTCGCCTGTGAGAGAAAGTATTAGTATATTATGTATATATTTATTGTTGGGTCTATTTCTTAATCTCTTAAACATTTAAATGAGAGAGAAGAAATGTTGGACTTGGTGTAGACACTTCTTCTATTATTATTTTCTTTCCCGAAATTCAGAAGCGGTTTCTATTCTTCATTGCTAAATTACATGCCTCACTGCTAGTTTATTGCGAAGTGCAGATATATGCTGTGATAAAAAGTGGATCATTGGCCATTGCTGCATCAACATTAGACTCTCTACTTGATCTTATGGCTGGTGGCATTCTTTGGTTCACACACCTGTCCATGAAAAACATCAACATCTACCAATACCCCATTGGCAAACTGAGAGTCCAACCAGTTGGTATCATCATCTTTGCTGCTGTCATGGCTACTCTAGGTAATGTCATTTCTCTCAGGTTCTGTTCAGAAAGTCTCAGATTCAAGTCTTGATATCCTATTTCACCTGATATATGAGACTATTAGGTAGTCACACGTATCCCGAGTCTACTTTCCTACAATGGGTTCAAAGAGTCTTTGCCTAGGATCAATTGTTATTAAAAAGAAGAAGAAAAAATAAAATAAAAAACCCATTAGAGATGGAGAATTGTCTTTGGAAGTGCTGAATAATAATAATAATCACTTTGTATCTGTGAAGGGTTTCAAGTGCTGATCCAGGCTGTAGAACAACTGATTAAAAATGAACCTACTGAAAAGATGAGTTCGGATCAATTGATTTGGTTGTATGCCATTATGCTGACAGCAACTGCAGTCAAACTTGTTCTTTGGATTTACTGCAGAAGCTCTGGAAACAAGATCGTCCGAGAGTATGCAAAGGTTTGTATGTACTAGTATTTCATTCACGTGACATGACATGAACACAAATATATATGAAATTAGCTGATCTCATCTCATTTCTCCGCATTGGCTCTTACCTACTTGAAAGTATACTAAATTGAAAACATTGATTGAAAACAGGATCATTATTTTGATGTGGTAACAAATGTAGTTGGTTTGATAGCTGCTGTTCTTGGTGATAAATTCTATTGGTGGATTGATCCTGTCGGTGCCATTGTCCTTGCTCTCTATACTATCATAAATTGGTCTGGAACTGTCCTAGAAAATGCAGGTCACCCCTCTCTCCCTCTCACTTTTATTCACTTTTATTAAACAATCAAACCACATATTTAGTGTTTCTTTTCTCTTTACAAAGTAGTTATATTGACTAGTTGGTCATTGATATATGTATGCATATATATACATATAGTGTCTCTGGTTGGACAATCAGCTCCTCCAGATGTTCTGCAGAAACTGACATACTTGGTCCTAAGGCACCATTCTCAAATCAAACGGGTTGACACTGTCCGAGCCTACACTTTTGGTGTTCTCTATTTTGTTGAGGTTAGACACAGCTCACTCATACATATGTATCATACAAATGCTTTGGATTTAACCATTCACATGCCATAATATATAATTGGATAAATTGTACTAACCTAGCAAAAAAAGACACTTTACTCTTCAAATTTGATATAATTTACATTAGAGTCACTTAAAATTTTAATTCATATGGCATTTTACTCCTTCTTCGTCAACAATTCCATAGCCATATACAGAAAAAATAAAATTAAAACATTCATATCTTTTAACACTAAATATATATTTTTTATTTTTTATCCATGTGTCAATGCACCATCTACATTAGTTTTGATCGCTTTAGACTTACTAATAGGGAATCGATGAATTAATTATGCCAAGCTTGTGGATCTTATTGTATTTTTCATAAGCCTCAAAGGTAATAAATATAATTTACTCTATATAATTTCAAGCTCAATTTTACATTTTGAGTTAATTACACTTTATCCCTTCAGCTATCACATAAAAAGACTGTTCATTTAGAACCTCAACTATCAAAATTCGTACAAAGACCCCATTTTTGAAAGGGTAAAAGTAAAGCAATTTTAATAGTTGAAGGGGTCTAAATATACAGTTTTAAAGTTGACCGAGATATCTATTTTTTTGTGTTTGTAGTATTACTTTTCGAATTAGTAACTAGTTTTGATTATGAAAAACAGGTAGACATAGAATTGCCTGAAGATTTGCCATTGAAAGAAGCACATGCCATTGGAGAGTCTCTGCAGATTAGAATCGAAGACCTCCCTGAAGTCGAAAGGGCATTCGTTCACCTTGATTTTGAGTGTGACCACAAACCAGAGCACTCTGTTCTTAGCAGACTCCCCAATACCCAACCTTAAAAGACTTTTTAAGCTCTCTCCTCTTTATTACTATCTATTATTAAAGCCTCAATTTTCTAAATTGTAAACTTTGATCTTCTTTATCATCATCATGTTTTGGTTGGATTGGGTTGGGATGGATATTATCCAATTCTTGGTAGTTTGGTTAGACTGAGAGATTGTGAGATGTATGCATGCAACACAAGGATCTATGTAATCCTCAGGCTCAGTTAGGGAAATTGTGCCCCCATTTTGATTTCAAAATGCATGAGTAAAAAAAAAAAAAAAAAAAAAAAAAAATACTCAAATTTTTATATCAATCAAGCGATTCAAACCCAGATCAAATTTTAATAGACAATCTCTAATTACAATTTAAAATTAGACAAGCCTGTGCAACTCTAGCAAAATTGGAATTGAATATGGTCAATTTCTCAACTCATCTAAATCCATTCAAGTTGCACCCTTTGTCATAAACATTGCCAAGATATATCTTTAAAGAATTGTGATCGATGAAAATGATCACATATGTTAAAACATAGGATACAAGATGAACTTGACATTTGATAATTGGACTAGGATAGGAATACATTGGGCCTAAAACACCTAATAATTTTTCGCCGACCATTTCTTTTTTACCGTTCTGCTTTGGTATTAATGCTGCTTTTGACTGCTTTGGCCACCACCACCTCACCTCTATCGATTTTCAAAGTAAAATTAAGATATCTATCTATTTTTGTGGAAAGGGGTTTTGACCTGCGATTTTTCTAAAATGAGTCTTCTAGACGGAAAGGGTAGAATTGGTTTAGACAATGAGAAAAAGTGCTTATGTAAGGGGTGCCTTCACTATGAGAAAGAATAGTCGGTTTTGCATAGGGTGCCTTTTTGGATAATAGCTTCAATACTGGCATGCATGAAGGGCTTCAGTGTGAGACATATGAGAGGGGCTTTAGTGCGAAAATAAAAGAAATGGTTTACAGAGTGTCTTCTTGCTTCACAATTTCAATACTTGCGAGAGAAGAGTAGGCTCAAATGTGAGAAAGAAATAAGGGTTTCTAGGAAGTGTCTTCTTGGGTTGCGACTTGAGTGTCCGTGCACATGAAAATGAGTGATAAGGGTCAGAGTGTGTCTCTTGTGGTGACGGTTTCAGTGCTCTGAAACACAAAACCATAGCATTTTAATAAAGAGAAATAATTAGTGATAAAATATTTATGTCTCCTTAAATACAAGAACAAAGAATTTATTATTTGTGACGAAATATTTTGTCTTCCACAACATAACCTTATAAGACGAAAAATATATTCATCGCGCAATCAATCAGAATTTATTAGTGACGAAATATTTTCATCTCCCACAACTTATTCTTCCAAGACAAAAATATATTTGTCGCCCATTTAATAGAAAGATGAAACGGCATCGTTTGCATGATGGAGTGTTTATTGGTGATGAAATATTTTCGTCTTCCATAACTTATCATTCCTAGACAAAAATATATTTGTCGCCTAATAAATGGAAATATGCAACGACATTGTTTAATAGGTAGGGAATTTATTGGTGAGGAATTACGTTCGTCGCAAAAAATATATATATTTTGTGACAAAAATGTTCGTCTCCAATGAGCTAAAATAATTTGCGCCAATGCAAATGAAATTGGCGCCTGAATTTTGCAGACGAATTTTTTTTCCGTCTCCTATACGTTTGAGAAAAATTGAAACAAACGACAAAATTAATATTTTCTCATCTTTGGGTTAAATTTTATGTCACCAAATTTTGTCACAATAGCCTAGATTTCTTGTATTTTGTTTCCTTGTTTAATTATTATTATTATTTTTTTGTTTTTGTGGAGAGGGGTTTACTGTGAGAAAGAATAGTAGCTTTGCACAAAATGTTTTCTTGGATAACAATGTTTGCATGCACAAACGGCTTAAATGTGAGAGAGAATAGAGAAACTTCAGTGCGAAATAGAAGAGATGGTTTATAGAGATTATTTTCTTGAGTCACAGCTTCAATACTTGTAAGAGAGAAGACTCAAGTGCGAGAGAGAAATGAGGATTTGTAGAGGGTGTCTTTTCGGGTCACGACTTTAGCATTTGTGTGTGTGTGAAAGTAAGTGATTAAGGTAAGAGCATCTCTTAGTTTCTGACGACATTTTAATAAAGAGAAATAATTAGTAATAAAATATTTTCGTCTCAAACTCATATGTTCGTTGCCTAATCAACAAAAATACAAAAACAACGTTATGTGGGGATGGAGAATTTATTGGTGATGAAATATTTTCGTTTCCTTTAACTTAACCTTATGAGACGAAAATATATTCGTCGCACAATCACTCAAAATGCAAC